CAGATACAACTAGAAATAAAATAATAAAAAAGCTGTATACAAGATATCATAAAACAAGAGATGAAATAAAAGAAGTTTTTATTTAGAGGGTTCTTAAATAAAACGTATAAAGACATACTCACGTTAACAAAATACATTAGGAAATTTCCGCATGTGAAACAAAATCCAATTTGGTAATGAAATCCTTCTGTATCTATAAAGCTATTTTTAGAGAAACACGTACCTACCAAAAACAGGTAGTTATTAGTATACATATCTGTTACACACTGTAATGCGTATAAATGATAACAAAAATAAGAAGTCCATATAAACATACTTTATTGAAAGAGGTAAAAGTACACTGCTAAGAAAGTACATTGTATTTCTTATACTATCATTTTAATCCTCTCCAATTAAGATTTTAAAGCAGCTTCACTCCATTAGTCCATGTTTGTTGCTTTTTGTCACTGTTTCTCCTTTGTCTTTATCATTATCATAACGTAGCGCTACAACACTGGGTGGGTCTTCGCTAACTACAAATTTTCTCCAAGTTGATCGATTTTCCACGAATCTGTAATCAACTGAAATGTTATTTTTTTTAGATATGGCATTTTCTGTGCTAACTTCCTTCCATACCTTCTTCTTCGTAATTCGTCCTTACTTGTTTTACTCATTGTCCATGATTCGCATCCATGTATTAAAATAGGTCTAAAGTTGTTCTGAAGCTATTTTCTTGTGGCATTGTAAATTAATTGCTATTTGTATTTTGAGAACGATTTCCGAAGTGGAAATTGAAACGTCAATAAATGTATTTTTATCTTTAATTGTGGCTTATTCCCAGTTATAAATAGCAATTAAGGTCTAAAGTTTGAATTATTCTCTGTATTTTTTAGTGGCATTATTATTAACCGTGATAATTTATCTTATAAGATATTTAAAGTGTTCCATATTTTGGAAATTGTGATTGTTAACTTTAATATTTTATCTAGATTTATTGAATTGGTCTCTTTTGTTGATTCGCTTGTATCTGTTTTTCATTTCGTTGATTTTAAGTGAAAAATTTTTCGTGCTCTCTTCACTTTATTGAAGATGTTTGCGGACGAGAGAGTTTCTTATGAGATCTATATCATTAGCAGGAGTGCTTTGTACCTTGGCCGGTAATGGATTACGTCTTAAATAGGCGATATTTCTATTTTAGTAGGCTGTTTATTAATTTTTTGACTATTTGAAACGGTCCTGCAAGTGACAACAGTAGGTTCATTTAATTTCGCTTCGTAATAAACTTAAAATTATTCGGGAATTACAAGTTAGAAAATTCAACAGAGTTCAAAAATAAGTATCAAAAGTTAAGTGCATACAGGTGATAGTAGTTAATAAAGAAAATACCACCAGACTAGTAAGATAGAACTATTTTAATAATTAATTTAAAGTCTTAAGTAAATGAATAATTGAGTGAAAGTTTAAAAAAGTGGTTTTGGCGAATGTTCGAAGGGTCGACCTGCTTAGGCATTCCTACTCGTTTTTTGTTTTTGTTTTTTTTTGTTTTTGGCAGATAAGAAAGTAATTAGTGCTGACAAGAAATTAATGATCAAAATAAAAGCCACATAATTTTATTACAAAAATCCAGATCTGGCCTTAAAATAGATTTGATATAAGTTGGGATTAGAATTAAATTAAATTAAAATAATAAATTAAAAGTAAATGTAATACAATAACTAAATCGAATGAACAGCAAAAGAAATAAGCCAGAACACGATAACTCATTCGACGAGGAGGAAGCCTTCAAAAGAAGCAAAGCCACGTTAAGAACATCTCCAAAGGATAACATAAAAAATCGCGAAATGGAAGAACTAAAAAAACTAGTAGAAGAAATAAATAAGGAGATCAAAACGGAAATAAAAGAGCTGAAAACAGAATGAAGGAAGAAAATAAGGAGATGAGAAGATATATAAATGAAGTTAAAGAAGAGATAAAACAAAATAACGAAGAAATAAAAAGCATAAAACTGGAAATAGAAAGGGTGAAGAAAGAATGTACAAAAGAGACAGAAGAACTGAAAAGAGAAAACGAACTAACCAAAACCGATAACAAAAAGATAACGGAAGAATTAAATGATCTAAAACGCTCATTAGATAGGTTAGACTAAGAAAAAAGAATATAATCATCAGTGGATCAAAAATAGACTCTGAAGATCCAAAAACATTGAAAGAGGAAATGACTACTATATTAGAAAATCATCTTGGAGTCAAAACCAATAATAAAAGAGCACAAAAAATAGGAACAAAAACATGCTTAATTGAACTTGAAAGCGAAGAAGAAAAAACAACAATCTTAAGAAACAAATACAAACTTAAGAATGTGAAGATCGAAAAAATATGGATTACAAAGGATCTCACAAAAGGAGAGAGAGAGAAAATGGAAGCTTTAAGAGATAAAGCAAGAGAAATGAGGGAAAATGGAAAAATGGTCAAAATAGGATACAATAAAATCACAGTGGACGGCAAGGAATGGAGATGGTGCTATAAAGAAGAAAAGGTGTTGGAAATAGCGTGTTTAAAAAACTACCAGAGCAACATAAAAAGAACCAAGGAGAGGCCAAGCAACGAGTAGAGAAAGAAGAATTACTAAATCCTTAAATTTGCCTGGAGGACTCTTGCCTGCAAACACCGGTTAACCTGTGTGAATGTGGGGTGGTATAAGATTTATGATGAATCTTATACCACCCCACATTCACACAGGTTAACCGGTGTTTGCAGGCAAGAGTCCTCCAGGCAAATTTAAGGAAGATAACAACCATAAGGAAGTTCCTTTCGAGGGTTCAGATGGGGAGGAGTAGCTTATATTTTTTTGTATATCTTGCAGATGTGATGATCTGATGACTGACTAATTTAAAGCTAAATATACTTACGTGTTAAGTATGTGTTTTTGTCACCCATACTAGCAAGGTATATTCGGCAGCATAAGCATAGAGTTTAAGTCTACGTTTTAAGGGTGGAAGAATGTGCTTCCTATTTTGAGCTGACAAGTTTGCGGAGAATATTACTTTTCTGGTTCTAGGTTGCGAGATTGTAAGATTCATCACACTTTCTTAGTTGACTTTTCCATTCAAATCGCTCTTTTCTGAAGGGACAAGTTTTATTTATTTGAACTAAACATGTTAAGTATAGCCAGTAAGCTTTTACTTATAAAGATCATTGCAAATTTGAAACTAACTCCACTTATATTGATAACATATTACCCCTAAATAGAAAATAAAACATTCAGAAGTATGTAATATTGGAGAAGTGGTATAATGCTTGTTAAATAAATTCTTTCTTTTTTTGTGCACTACTACCCATTTTTACACAAAAATATCTATTTTAGCACTTAAATATTTATTTTGAGATAACCTTTTATCCAAACTTATATGTAGTACATAGATAAAACCAGAAATAAAATAATAAAAAAGCTGTATACAAGATATCATAAAACAATGGATGAAATAAAAGAAGTTCTTATTAATCGGATTCTTAAATAAAACTTATGAAGACATATTCACGTTAACAAAATACATTAGGAAATTTCCGCATATGAAACAAAATCCAATTTGGTAATGAAATCCTTTTGTATCTATAAAGCTATTTTTAGAGAACTCGTACCTACCAAAAACAGGTAGTTAATAGTATACATATCTGTTACACACTGTAATGCGTATGAATGATAACAAAACTAAGGAGTCCATATAAACCGTCCAGACTTTACGCGAGAATTATACATCTTATAGCAGAGTTGCCAAACTATCAGAGCTTACTTAAACCGATATACATATGGTTCCAATATACAGTGAAAAAGATCTGAACGACCCCTATAATATATACACGTGAACTAAGCGATATACATTTATGATACAGGGATAATTATGGGCTCCAAAATTTTTTTAAAAATTATGAAACTATACATGTTGACGAATCGACAGAGCCAATATTATGGAATGGTCAAGTGAGCTCCGTATATCGGTGTCCACTTGACCACGGAGCTCACCTGAACCTGAATTTTAACATGGGCGGAGTCCACTTTATGCCGTAAATATATATATATATATATATATATATATATATATATATATATATATATATATATATATATTTAATATAAAATTAATGTTTCTTGGGTTTAGGTTCAATAAAGATATATTACATGTAGAACTAGATTGTATTTTCCATTGCAATCAATCAACGTTTCGGCAGGAAACCCTTGCCTTTGTCAAGATTCAAAACGTAAAACGTGACACAGACATTAACGAATTCAGTTCGTTAATGGTGATGAATGGGCGGTATAAACGCCAAAAGATCTTCCATATCCTTTTTTTTTCTTAATCGTAACTGGTATTGGAGCTTCATACAGTTTTGAAAATTCAATATTTTGAACATTGGCGATACGTCCTTTTCGTACAGGTTGCAAGTTTATGACATCAAAAGGAAACTCCTCATCTAATGTTTCTTTATAAAATATTTTATAGGGATCACTCTTTCTAAATTGTAGCCATTGAATTTTAAGCCACGATACTGGCGCGTTATCTTCATTTTTCTTTCTTCTGGTAACAGCTGCTTCCAGGTTTTGTGACGATACAAAATTATTTCCGTTCATCTTGCAAACACGATACGGTTTCTTTGTGCGGCACTTCTCAAACACACTGTACCAGTCGTCCGGCACATACTTCACTCTATTCTTTGCGTATTGTTCGATTACACCAAAATCACGATCATTCGGGAGAAAGGAATGTCCGGATACCATAAACTTATGGTCTACCATTTCCAAATTATCGGAATCTGCAATGAGTTTCAACCAAAACAAACACTGTTTAAAGTTCCTATTCTGCCCCCCACAGGCATCACTAAATGCAATGATGTGTCTTGCGTCCTTTGCATTTTCTAGAACATGCTTTCGAATACAAGATCCTATTTCTTGTGCTCCTCGAGAGGCTATAGTTTCATCCCAGGCATACAGGAACACCTTGTCTTCGTCGCTAAACTCGTGAATACCCAAATTGTACACATACATGTTTCTTTTATAGTAGGCTACAGAGCAAGTCAAAGTTGGAAACGGTAAGGCCTTTTCTAAATCAAACGTGAATGCACACACTCTCCCTTTTTCACGTATGCTTGTAATTTTAGCGTCTTTCAAAGCAGCTCTGGCCTTTTCACTGCGCCGTAAATGCAGCTCGTGTTGTGATTGAAGCACTTTCTTCGTATTCTCGTCCTTTTCCTGGGTCACCTGATTTTTGTATTTGTCACACTTAACACATGTATCTTTTAATGGTACGTGAAAGTGAAGATTGAAATCGCGATGGAAAATTTGTCTGTATAAACTTTCTGACACAGGATCTTCTACACATTTCTCTTTGTACAGGGTATACATTGTACGTACATTGAGCTCTGGATCTAAAAACTTTCTATTAGGATTATGAGCTCGTGTATAATGAGATTCATAAGAAGGAAAGCTGTTTATGTGATCGCGTACTAACTGTATATTTCCTTCAGGAGTTTTATTGCTAGGTGCGTGTTTGCCCCGTAAATCTTCACCAGGAAATGATATCTCCCCCTTTTTTAATGCACGCATTAACCTACCATTACTTATTGCAAAGGTTTCCAAAAAGTACATTTTGCACACTTTATGAGACTCTTTCGGGGTATTTAGGACATAAGTGTAGGATACTGCTTTTTTCTGCCTTGTACCATTTCTTGGACGGTGAGTGGCTGGTTTAGACAATTTTACAATACCAACTAGAAAAGCATTTTGTGCTGAAAAATTAGCTATGTTCCAGAAATTTGTAAAGATAGCTTTCCTTTCTTCCTGAGAAATTTTTTGAATGCATTTGCCCTTGCACGTACACTCCCTGTTATGAAACTCTTTCGCTTTTACCACCTTATTAGATGTAGACACATATTGTTCCCCACAGTTTCTTTTTTCTTTTCGAACATTCTTGATGTGTTTACTTGGCTCTCTATTTCGTTTTCTGCCGACGTGCTTGGTAGTTGATCCCAATTTTAACTTCGAACTTTCGTCAACTGAAACAAACGTGCAAATAAAATACTGCTATTCACACATTTGAGGTTATGAAAGGAAATAACAAAATAAACTTACCTCTATCAGAATCAGATTCTGTTGAATCGTCATTGTTTTCTGGCTTGTACTCGCCCAATTTTAACTTCGAACGTTTGTCAGCTGAAACAAACGTGCAAATAAAATACTGCTATTCACACATTTGAGGTTATAAAAGGAAATAAAAAAAATAAACTTACCGCTATCAGAATCAGATTCTGTTGAATCGTCATTGTTTTCTGGCTCGTACTCGCTATCACTAGCACTAAACGGTTCATTTACAGATTCACTAGAACTCATTTTACTACAAGCAAACGTGACACTTATAAAAAATTCGTGACAGAATTTCTGGCAGAATGGTCCAAGTCAGACTTAGACCATTTTGCCTTAAAACGGCAACCTTCATAGCATTTGACATATATTACAGTAGTGTCATCTGTGAGTGAACGGATGCACTAATATTTTTCAAATTTTGTAGCAAAATAGAACACTGTTAAACAGAATTATATACCGAGAAAACGCGAAACATGAAATTCTTGACTTAGACCACTCTGGTTTTCAACGGCTCAGTTTCGGGTGAAACATAAGTGAATGTTTCGGGTGAAGTTTCATTTGTATGATATTTGGCATTTGCAGTTCTTGGATGGTCTGCGGGTTTATCTTTTGTCCCATGATGTATAATGTTTCATCTGTGGAAATCACGCTGGAGTGGTTGACAGTGATTTCGCCAATTTTAAGGGGTTTTGCTAATCCTAGTAGAACGACGTGGTCAGTCTCTATGATAAAGTTTTCTGTAACGTGTGCAGTGAGGCATCCTTGTACGTCTGGGATTTGACATTTTGAGTAAACTCTATCTTGGCAAATGATGATGTTAGATTTTGGCGTGCAATTTTCGTACCATGTGTTATTTGCGTAGTACTTTGCAGGTGGGATTATCATTGCTTGTTCATTGTTAGGTATCGAATATATTTTGGAAGTTGGGTAAGAGTGGACGTGGAGAATAGGAATTTTTAGGATAATAAGCATACTTGTCTGAGTTATACATATTACTGAATGTGAGGCTTCTAAGAGTTCATAGGGGTGTTCTTCATTGAGTATTAGAGCGTCTCGAGGATAAATTGAGAGAAGTGTGTTTTGAAGATTAAGTATCTCATGTAAGGTAAGAAGTTCGATATTCGGAATATTGGATTGAGAGATTGTTATTGTTCTTAATAGTTTTTTGATGTATTCGTTTATGCTTTGTATTTCTAAAATTTCATTAAGTATGGCTAATTGTTTGGAAACGTGATCTAATTCATTTGATATTAGGGCATTGTTATCATTTAACTTTTTAAGAAGTATGTCGAATCTGGTATTAAAGGTTTCGCCATAAGAGATTTGATTGTTATACTTTTTTATTATTTCGTTTTGTTTAAGCTCGACTGCAGCGAGATGAGATTTGAGGAGTTCGAAGTCTGAGTCGTCGGGATTGCCGGTAATGTATTTGATAGTCGTACCTAAGAAGTTGAAAAGACCTCGTTTTTGTATTCTTTTTGTTGAAGTTGTCGCTACTGTTGGATAGTGTTTGTTGGAGTTTGTGTAAGTCGATCTGTAGTATGTGTTTGTGGAAATGAGTTATGATTTTTGAATCTCCTATTGATTCCGTATAGTAACCATTATTGGGTATCTCCTGGATTTTGACCAGTGCTTGCAGATGTTGAAGGGCCATCCTGTAAAGAGGATTTTTTGTAGTGTTTTCTTTGTCTTTTAACGTATTTTAAGTGTGTACTAGTTTTGTTATTTTTTGCCGTTAGGCCAGTGATTTTTGTTTTGTTTTGTGAAGTGGGGGTTATTGTCTGTTATAGAGGGTCTAGTTTGGGTTGAATTTTCTTTTTCTTTGCGTAAACTTTTTGTGTGATTGTAGGTATTTCTTCTGCGTCTTTGTTTACTTTTTCTAGAGATTTGTCTCTTCCTTCTTTTGTTTTTGTATATATGTGGTCAATAAATGGAAGTAGTTCGTTGTTGAAATTTTCTTTAACAGTATTATCTATGTGTGTTCTAAAGAAATCACATATGAAAGGTTGGAAACAATGTGGAGTTTTTATGCCGAATTTTTGGCTTGGTTTTAAAATTGCTTTAAATGCGTCGACAAGACAATCTTGCCAATTTTCAGTAACGTGAACGGAGTATCTATGTTTTTTAAATACTCTTTTGTAAGTGACGTCGTATTTTTCGCTGTTAGGAATAATTATTATTTGATTAGTTGATAAATTTAAGGGTTCTTCTGATATAGGTATGCCATTAATAGGGTCTTCTAATGAAGTGTGTTGTGTTTGGGTTTCATCGAGATTATTTTGAATATTATCGAATGTATCTAAGAATTCGTCTGGGTCAAAGTCGTTAGTATTTGGTGGTTCGGCTATGATTGAAGATTTTGTAAGGGCATTAATTTGTATTCTAGATAGGGCGTCGCTAACTTGATTGTCGCGACCTCGGCGATATCTAACTTCGAAGTCGTAGTCTTCTAATTTTAATCGCCATCTGGCTAAACGGGATGTAGGATCTTTTATTTTATAAATCCATACTAAAGGATTATGGTCGGTTTCGACTATAAAACGAGTTCCATAAAGGTAAGGTCGGAAATGTTTACAAGAATCGATGATAGCGAGTAATTCACGTTCTGTTGTGCTATAATTTTGCTCGGCTGTATTTAGAGTGCGAGAATGATATGCGACGGGATGACCGTCTTGGGTTAACACAGCGCCTAATGCGATGTTGGAAGCGTCGGTTGTCAATGTGAATTGTTTTGAGAAATCAGGATATTGTAAAACTGGAGAGTTTGAAAGTAATTCTTTGCATTTAGCGAATGCTTCTAGATAGGTGGAATTTGTTGGGTCAATAATCGCATTTTTTCTTGTACAACGTGTTAGGGGAGAAGTAATTTTTGCAAAATTTGGGATGAAGCGTCTGTAATATCCGATTAGTCCTAAGAAAGATTTTATTTCTTTTATTGTTTTGGGAAGTGGATATTCTCTAATCGCTTTGAGTTTTGCGGGATTTGGTTTGACTCCTTCTGGGGTAACAACGTGGCCTAGGAAGGTGACTTCTTTTGTTAGGAATTCGGATTTGTCAAGTTGGACTTTTAAATTAGTTTCTTGGAATCTTTGGAAAATTTGAGATATGTGGATAAGATGTTCTTGTAATGACTTGGAAAATATGATTACGTCATCCATGTAGACGAAACAAAATTTGTGTAGAAAGGGGCGTAGAATATTGTCCATTAATTTTTGGAAGGTTGCTGGACTGCACTTTAGACCGAAAGGCATTCTAAGAAATTCAAAATGGCCATGGGGTACAGTGAAAGCGGTTTTTTCTATAGAGTCGGGATGAACTTCTATTTGATGGAATCCTTGGGCTAAGTCTAGGGTCGTGAAATATGTGGCTTTACCTAAGTTGTCTAGAATTTCATCTATTTTTGGGAGAGGGTATTTATCTTCGATTGTGTTTTCGTTTAATTTTCTATAATCTATTACCATGCGAAATTTCTTTTTGCCGGAGGCGTCAGTTTTTTTGGGGACGATCCACACGGGTGCTGAATAGGGGGAGATTGAAGGTCTAATAATATTATTATCAAGTAATTTGTTTATTTGTCGCGTAATTTCTTCTTGCATTGCTTTGGGGTGTCTAAAGTTTCTTGAGTAAATAGGGTTTTCGTCTTTAGTCCTGATATGATGTTTTATTTCTGATGTGAAAGTTAGTTTGTCTTTTTCGTCGTAAAATATGTCTTTGTATTTGTGGCATAGTCTTAGTATTTTTTCTTTTTCTTCGGGGTTTAAGTGTTGTGTGCGAATTATGCTAGGGTCGAAATTGGAAGGTATGTCGTTGGTTATTTCGTAGTTGTTTAGGTTTTCTACATGTATGGGTTTTATTTGTATTGGATAATCAAGAGTGATGTTATCGATGTAACCGTTAGTAACGTGATGAATGGATTCTGGGAAGATTTCGTTATTTATTCTTGTTTCGGGAAATAATATTTCGCCTTGTTCTATGTCAACGGGTATTTTGAAAGAAAGTGTTTGAAAGGGTATCTCTATGTCGTAACGTTGTAGTGTTAATGTTTTATTTGTGTAATTTAAAATGGCTTGAAATGAATCTAGATCAAAATTTCCTAATAAAATGTCGAAGTCTTTACTCCAGTCAGCGATGCGTGCATCGATAAAATCGGGTATATTTAATTCTTTAAATAGGGGAGTTTTGATATTGTCTGAATATTTGGTCGTTTTTTTCATTGATGTAAGCGTGAAGTCTTTTTTGTAAATGTGATGAGGATTAAATAACTTTGAAGCTTTGGGAGAGATAATGGTGTCAGATCCACCAGTATCGATAAGGATTTTTAGTTTACTTTCGGGTAATACAAAGAATGGAAGTCTTGGGTGATTTTTGATATTATTTAAATCAATTGAGGTGGAGGTTGCTCTTGCAATGAGGTGTCGTGAAAATTTTCTTCTTGGGGAAGATCTTGGGTATTGTCAGGGTCATCGTAATATTCTGTCTCCTGAGGGTTATAGTAATCTGTTTCGTGGTAATTTTCGAATGAATCAGGGCAGTTCTCTGATTCGACGTTAAAGTTTTGGGTCCATCTTGTCGATGTTGTCATGGGTCGTGCTTCTGTACGGATTGTTTCTACACCACTCATTGGTCGAGGGTTGTAAGATTGAGGGTTTTGTGTTGTTCGAGGAAAGTTCGAGTTTTGGTATTTATTTGTCGTGTTTTTGTGGAAATTTGTGTTTGAAGGTCTTGAATTGAATTTATTATTGTTGTGAGGTGTGGCAGGATTTCGATTAAAATTCGCGTTCGTATTTTGAGAATTTTGTTGATTAAAATTTGAGTTAGAATTTTGGGGAATTTGTCTATTGAAATTTGTGTTGGTATTATGTGGTATTGGTCTAGATTGATACGTCGGTTTTGGTTTCACTTTTTGATTTTTAAGAAAGTTCATATAAGAAACTTGATTTCTGTGATTATCATAGGCTATACACTTTTGTAAAGCTGTGTCTAGCGTATCGAGTTGGAAGTGCGAAAGGTATTCGCAATAGGGATTGTTTACGCCTGTAGAAAATGTTTTTAAGGCTAAATTTTTAAAGTAGGGTGATTTAAAAAGCACCGTTTCTGCATTATTATGCAAAGAAATATGTTGTAATAAATCGTTTAAATGGGTAGTTATTCGTTGGTAGTAGTCGTCATAAGTTTCATGTGGTTTTTGTACGGTTGTAGTTAGTTGAGTGACTAGGATTTCCTCAGATCTCCTGTCGCCGTATTTAGCTAGTAAGGCTGGTCGGACATCTGTCCAAACAGTTTTATTAGAAAAATTTAGGTAGTCTCTCGGCTCACCTTTTATTCGTGAAAGAATATTTGCATTTAATACAAATGCTTGAACTTCTGTTGGGTTTTGGCCTGCTAGAAATTCAATTAGGGCATCTACGGATCTAATAAATGTCGATAGGTTTTGACCTGTTGTGTATTCGGGAAGAGTAGCACACAGGCTTGAAATATCACCGTTTGAAATGGGCATTTTATCCTCTATAATCGGAGAAATTTCTTGGAGAATAGGAAGTCGATGTAAAGGGCTTCTATCACGAAGATGATTTCGTTCGGATTTACAAAGGATAATATTAAGTTCAGTTTCAGTTAACTCAACAAATGTGCTCATAAGTAAAATGAAAATAAAATAAAGGAAAAACTTACAGGAATATTATCAGCAGCGTCACTGGATTATTCTGCATCGTTTTCCGGTTCGTGGGTCCTCTACCAAACAACTGAAGTTGACCAGGAATCTTGCTAATTCTGTGTTGAGGATCCTGTTCGCAGCGCCAATTATATTTTCTCACTTTTACACTTTTTAACACTTTAAAAAAAAACTTTATTTTTTTAAAAGTATACAAATTTAAAATTAAAAGTGAAACTGGAACAAACCATGAAGTGGAGATATCCAGGAGTGGCTAGTATACCTGTTGAATACAAAGCACGTGGTGGTCGTGTGTATTAAGGTATAAAAAAATGCTTATTAAAAGCTTAAAATTTTTATTTTAAAGAAGATCTTTTCGGAATTGAATCATTCCATCATCAGTTTAATAAAAAGTTGTCAAAAAACATTGTATGGCCACATGAAAATATAGAAAGGAACTCCGTATTAAAATTCATCAAAAAACAATCCTCATGGTGTTTATGAAGGTAAATGCAATCGACTGTTAATTTGTAGATTACTAAAAACTGAAAATGGGAGCATCTTACATGACCCCCTGTAGTTGGTGAGGTTTTATTGACTTACATTACCTCTGATCTGAAATGGAGTCTAGGGCTAACTGATAGAAAGATGGTATTGAAACCTCAATACTCCGGGAGTATTGGATTTTAGGAAGTGTAAGACTTCCAAATTCCAGAAGAACTGGAAGAGAGGTGATGAAAATACTAAAAATATGGCTAAGCTCAGAGGAACAAAGTTAAATGGCCAAAGAGACACTAAATCTCAAGTGAGTGTTCGGGCTAGCTTCAATGCACTGGATTGTGGCTTTAAAGATATAAACAGATAGCAAGGATACTGAGCTAATGAGACAAGAAACGAAATGAGACCTGGTAATATCAAATGTGATACAACTAAAGAAGGTCACTGGGAATAAATTTATAGAAAAAGACAATAAGAAGAGAAAAGAAGGGCGCCAACTCAACGATAGTTGAGATTTTGAAGTAACAAATGACTGGAAACAAATGATACTGGAGATAATAACCTGAAATACAAAATACTAAATACTAATCTTGTCTTGCTATATTATATACTGGTTAGTAGAAACTGAAATAAAACTCAAAATAGTAACAATAAATATATTTATAAAAATGTGTATATCGATATATATGTATTAACAATTTACATATAATGCAAAACTAAATAACAGTGGTAGTGGGTGTGTAAAGATACAATAGGACCTAATAGCCCCTCAACAAGCGAATAGTCACTACCACTGGCCAAATAAAGTGTGAAATATTAGTAAAAACAAGAATAGTCCGTATGGTAGCCAAGGTCTTAACACTAAAGGTTAGTAATTTAAATTTAAATAGTTCAACTAAAATGAGATACTAATTACAATATTGTAAAGATATCAACCTTGATAAATCTATTACAATCATACTATATTACAAGTGAGTTGTTCCATACTCATTATATCAGATTTAAAAAAAACCACATAAAATTTATTTCCCTCCCCAATTAAAATTAAAAAAAAAATATTATATCAAAAGTGAATTCTATTAAAAAAATATATTAAATCAACAAGTGAGTTCGGTCAGACTCTGTATATCCTATTTAAAAAAAACCTCATAAAAACATGAAAGGTATTTTCCCTCTCCCAATAATATCAAAATTATATTTTATCAAAATGTAGTCACTTGATCATATGCATATGAAAAGTTAACAAAATAGACAGTAACAAAAAAATTACACAGTCAAACAACTTATCTTTACAGCACTATAAGTCCATAGGAAAAACTCCTCTTGGCACGGCTAAATCAGTTTGTTGCTGTAAAGGACAAATCCCAGGTGAGTCTGGGCATAAAACCAGTCACTGGTCTATCTGGAGTGACGGCAAAATCCAGGAGAGTTGCTAACCATTTAAGAAATTTTGTTACTAGTCCTTGAGGGAATATTCTTAAGAGAATATCCTCAAGTGAAGTGACGGAATCTAAAAGAATTATCAGATTTAATTACTATTTGATTTAATACGTGTAGCAGCATAGATTGACTGCACCAAAACAAAACATTACATTATGTCAACATGTCAGAATTTCCGAAGTTACTTCGTAGACATGACAGGCTTGCGCCATGAAATGAACATGCGCAGAATACAGAAGGCTGTACCACATTTGTAGAACCTTTTATATTCCACCAAAAAAAGTTAGATAAAAATGGAACCAAAAAAAACTTAATGATAACGACATGGACTAAAACAGAATTTAAGTTTAACTATATAAAAAATGACCTTATGTTCTTTGTAAGTAAATCAAGGAAATTTTATATTTAAATTATTTCGGAACTCAAAAATAAATCTCTAAAGAAATACTAAACTGCAATGATAAATTTGATTGTATGATAAAGAGATAATACGTATGAAATTATTTACTTACATGGAGCCGCAGCACGCCAAAAAAATCTTCCTTTTTATGTGGAACTCTTATAAATGACTCTTGATTTTTAAAATTACTTATTAATTTTATTACTGAGATATGATTATTGAATTAGATATTATTTTATTCGTCCCAGATTATTTTACTGCTCCAATTCCGTCACTTTGAAGGTGAAAAAATTTCACCGGTTGGCGTGTCTGCCTAGTGAGTCTCTTGACCAAACTGACTGCTTTGCTTCCGCACAAAATCGATCAATCCTTTCAAAGCGCTCCCAGCGCGTGAGTGGAGAAATGTCGATTTAAAAATCGATCACAGGCGGGTTATAAGAAAATTTCTTGAGGGGTTTAAATTGGACTAGTCAGTAGCGTAAACGCTACAGTATGAAAAATCGATTTTTCCAAAGGAAGAATTTTATACAACTTGTCATAATTTGGCGAGTTGCGACCAGGCATCACCGAATTATCTGCTAAATGCACGTTTCCTAGATGCCAAGTAAACCGATCTATAGACATAGCTGAGCTAATGTAGTGATCTCGTACTTCCTCTTTAGATGACCAGTAATAGACATAACTGGGCAACCTTTTAATTCCCATTAACATATTGATTGTAATGAAAATTTTAATTTCTTTGGCAGAAGTTGGTGTGAATGAAGAGTCTCCACCACGTTTCTGAAGAGCGTAGAGGTTTGTTTCGAATACAATTTTGTCAATTAGATTTCCGGAAAATAAGTGTAAAAAAAATCTACTGGCCTCTCCATATCATCTGGAATTTTAGGACCGGTTTCTTCAGTAAACTGCTTCATGTTAGTAACGCAAGATGCCACTGACTTGGTCCAGGTTCTTCTTTGTTCTATATCCCTCAAAATAGCAGGTGGAACATCGTCCTCGTCGTCCGAGAAGGCTTCATCACCAAGAATATTTTCTGCATTGTCGCCTTTTGAAGGTTGGTCTGGCTGATCTTCAAATAATATTGGCATATTCGCAATGTCAAGCAAATCGTCTTCCTCACTACTCGATTCATTTGACTCGCTATCTGAAGGAATATTCTCTAATAATGTGAATAGATCACCCGACGACATATTGTTTAGCTGTCTGAATGAATATACTTTTTTTCTGAAATAAAAAATAATTACTTAGGTACATATTTAGTTTCCTAGTGGTTTCAGGATGAAACCGGCATTTTATATCATCAATATACTGATTGTAAATTGAAAACTTTTAGTAATAGGAAGTATTAATCATAGATACAAATATTTCTAATATTGTATATAAAAAATAAAGTTACCTGCCATAGCGAAATAATATAAAAAAAACACCAAAATCGCTTATACCACCAGCACAGTTCAAAACACGGGTTATTACCAACTAATAATTGAATAACGAGAATGTAAATGGCGATGCGCGATACATTTTATAGTAGGAGGAGCCTTATACGTAATATAACGTGAGCGGTTTCAGGAAAATACCACTGAGAACGTAGCATACAATTTATTTGTATGTGGTTTCACAGTGAAACTACTAGAAAACAAAGGGTTAAGCCAAAGTTAAATAGTTTTATTTACAACAGACTGATAAACCCATCTATATTTTCTTAGGTATAGGTTATATAGGGATTATACCTAAGAAAAAATGGAAAAACTATTTATGAAGGTTAAAGAAAAGTAACATAAAAAATAATTTTATTTATTAACATATCCAACAAATTAAGGATAAAGCTGCAAAACAAAACTTAAATCTATAGAATGAATTGAAATATAAAAAAAAACCAAACATGGATATTAAAATTTAAAAGTATATAAAAAGCTACATAACAAATTTTTAATCCAGAAAAGTTTAACTAAAAAATAAACATTCAACTGATTTGAAAAAAAAAAACATTACACAATTATGTTTTATTAAAATGTCCTGCTATAGTTTTCAACGATTCAGCGATACTTTGAATATTTGTGTCTATTCGAGACAGAATATTCAAAGTATCCCTGTAGATATCTATCAACTCTCTCGACAATCTTAAATTTGAATTGTCTCTAACACGTTCTCGACACCTACATTTAGGTGACACAGTTTCTGTATCATTCTTTCTTTTTTTGTATAGCTATTATCATTTGATTCACACATTTCTTCTACAATAACTTCACTGTTTATGTTGACTTCAGGATGCACTTCCAGTTCTAAAACACCTGTGTCACCTACAGTAACTACTTCAGATTGCAGTCCCAGTTCTGCAACACCAGTGTCACCTTCTACAGCAACATTACCCATTACAGCAAGCAATCTTTTCTCTACATCACTTAGAGGTAATGGTGTAGAAGGCCCACCCCCAGTATTTTCATGCTACAAACGCAATTCTGCTGCTTTGGCCTTGGTTTTTGATTTCCAATCAGTCAATGCCTAAAAATATCATTTTAGAATAAATTTAAAATAAACAGATATCACCAACTTACTCTCCTCCATTCGGCTGTAGTTTTTTCTCCAAAACCCAAACCATTCAGACGATTGGCAAAAGTTTGCCACATGGCGTGGCCTTTAGATTTGCCAGCGGCCCCGTTAAATTTATTTGTAATTATTTCGGATTTCTTTCCACCATACTAACCAATAACTCCCAGTGGACTGCTCTCACTTTTATTTTATTTTTAAATAAAAATTTTTTTATCAATTTTTATTATTGGTTGTTATACGATAACGATATACGATGCGCTGTTTACATATAAACAAATCTCTAACTCTAACCTAAATTTTTAACGCTTTTACCGTTTAGTTGTATCTCTTTCTAACCAATGATTCCAATTATCAAGCGATGTGTGTCTCTCTCTAAAGCAACACGTTTGAAGGTGTTAAGTAGAAGCGAGGCCACAGCTACAAATAAGTTGATACAAAATGACAAATGACACCTTGAAATGGAAGACAGAGTACGACACGTATCGTTTTTTGGCTACCATTGATATCAACATAACACAGGGTTTACCCACTGGTTTCGTTTATAACAATAAGTCAATATGATGGGTTTAAAAATCGAAAGTAATAATAATTATAAATACTTGAAATCAATTTCCGTTTAAATATTTTAAATTACGCAAAATCTATCACTCCTAATTATAGGACATCCATATATCAGTCGAAAGTGGAAATTTTTTTTAATATAATAATTCATTAATATACAGGGTGTTCCATTTAAAAAAAGCTTTATAGCAATTGAATAATCCAATAATGAAACTACAAATTTTGAACACCTTGTAAATAAATGTTTAATAATTAGTCATGAAATAGATTTAACCAATATCCAACTATTTGGAGGTGTAACCAATTTTATTAGAATTTCTTAAATAAGTTGGGAATGAGTCTTCGTTTAAAGCTTTACATTTTAAGAATATTCCACATAACTCATAACACTCTGTATATAAGTATAGAGAAGTCTTATGAAACTATACCTAATTTTTTGCTGACAATTGAAGGGTACAGGCAAAGAAGGTGATATGTGAAAAAAACAAGTTTCGAGAAAAACGGTTTTAAAGGTTTGGACTCTCTGGTGTTTGTTTATTAGAGGAAAATAAAAAGTGACAAATTTTTTAATAATGTATTGGAATGTTACCTATTGGACAGTTAAATGTGAATAGCCAAAATACAAATGCATAAAAAGTAATAAAACATTTTGTAGAAAATTGCAATTTTTACAGGGCAAAAAGGTGTTTTGTCAAATAACTTAATATTATAGACTACTTACTAAACATAATATTTTTATTGTAACAGTAAACTTAAAATGTAGGTAAATAAAACTAAAGGCGTCCTTATGAAAAAGAGGATGTGGTAAAATTTTTCAGGTATTCAGCTTTATTCATCCTAGAACAAAAAAAAATTAGGGTCAATTCGTATATAGATGAGGTTGTCTAGCTTACCGCAATAATCATAAAGCTCAAAGGTCATCAGTTTGTCTTCTACAAATATGGCAACTGGTTAAAGTAGTCTTGAGCCGCTGAGTCACAAAATATCTTCAGTCTTGGAGATTTTTCCACTTCATCTTACTAATGGGTAAAAGCGCTAAAAGAAATTTTCCTGTTACAGAAATATTTCAAAGGTAAAAATGTGTATCTTACTTTTATACAAGTGATCAGGCAGTTCAAACTGGTTGCCTTCTAATTTGATTTTAGTTTTAAATTTGGGATCAGTAACAACAGTAGTTTCCCACGCACCATTGTAGCTGTCTCGGTGAAGTATCATCCTTGGATGTTCTTTTTCTATTTTCATTTCCCTAATCGGCCTAGAAGGAAATGGACATGTTCCTCTATAACGTCTACTCAAGAATGTTGTCCAGGTTCTGAAGTACGTTTGGTTAACGTTTTCTACTTGAAAAGGAGAGGGTTTTTTCTAGCCATTCGGAATTCTTCCTGCCATTGTTCTGGGAGTTCCACTCGTGTTTTTTGATTTAATAATCCAAAATCTTTATCACACTCCATGTACGAATGGCCTCTAATTGGAAAAGTAACCTTAATCAAATCTAGTCTTTTTTCTACATGCACTACATAGTGTAGAAAACGAAACATAGTGTAATTTTTGTTCTGTCCTCCACAGGAATCGCAGAATATTTCTAGTTCACGAACTTCAGGGTTAAGATAATTATATACAAAATGATGTAGCAAAGAGCAGACATCATCACTCCCTTTTTTTCCAACTGTTTCGGGATAAATGTAAAATATGCTTTGTGATGTAGACAAAACATGGATATTGAATGCATATGTAGACAACTGCCTTTTATAATAGACGTCACTCGTACTAATATTCGGAACCGGAAGATTTTTTGCAAAATCGATGCAGATTGCTTCCGTGGAAATCAACTTCTGGCTACGTGTTTTGTGTAATTTATTCTCTATCTTTAACCGGTTTATATCTGCCTCTAGTTTTTGCCTCAGATTTTCTGTTTGCGATAAATTGAGTTTTTCAGCTTCTAGACTTTTAGTCTTAGCTAAATATTCGTCGCATTGACTACATGTGTCAGATCTAGGGTATCCAAATGATATGTTGAACTCGGTTGAAAAAAGGGTCCTATAAGTTTCATATGACACATTCTCATTTGGAAACTTTTCACAGAACATATTAAACATTTTTTTAATATTCAGTTCTTCTGGTAGGTATACCTTAGCCGTATCATGCATACTGTAATGACTTTTACGACCTCTAAACGATCCAATATGACTTTTTATCGTACTTTTTGCTTCAATAGAGAGCTTGTGTGGCCGATTAGTGTGCTTACCTCTACGATCTTTTGGTGCATCTCCTGTTAGTTTTAATGATTGCTGCAGCACGGCTAACTTTCTTCGGCCTATTCCATGTATAGATATAAATGCCTTTTTACATATTTCAACATCTTCAGCATGACCATTTATATTGTCTACAACTCTTACACGGTACCGGAAGGAAGCATCGTGAAGAAGAGCATCTCGTTCGTGTTGCCTTGGTCTTCGTTGTTTGATTGGAAGGGTCGTTATCAAACCACACAGATATATATTCTGCTCATCAACTGAGTTGAGTAGATTAAAACTCTGGATGATTTTGTTCCTAGCATTTTCTGGTATACGCTCAAAACACTTTAATCTCTTACACCTACAGTCCTGACCCATAGTATGGCTTCTCAAATTTAATAACTTATTTACATCACTCAATTTTCCATACTTCTTTCTTTTTTTACTATTTCTATTTGAAGGCGAAATGTCGTTATCAACGATTTCAGGGTCAATTCTCTCCATTACTTAGTTTTTGTAATAAACACAAGTTCACTGAGGAAAACACGTTTGTTTACTAAATTTGCTGGAATTTGCCGATGTAATAGTATCAGCCGACGCTTACGTGTACATCCTGACAAAGCACTTTTTTCGCCGGGATCGCGCGGACTTGCCACCTTCTTAGCCTGAATTTAATTTAAAAAAACTTAAATTAATTCATTTAAGAAGCCTTTTATAGTAACTAGCTCCCTAGAAATTGTTTTGAGGACTTCTGTTTGTTCATTTATTGCTTGAGTTTGATCACTCATAATTTTTATTTTTTTTTCTCGGTATAATTGTGTGTCAAGCATACCACACTCTGCAATTTTTACCATTTTTGAATGGTTTTTTATCGGCTCATTCAGTCTCTGAGTTTTTGTTTTACGTTTTCCTGATACATGTGATGATGATGGTTGGTCATCTTTATGGATGGGTGCATCGTATTGATGCTCGAGCTGTAAAACAAGATATTATTTAGCTGATTGTAGTTAAGTAGTAGATAATCATGTGTATATATTATTTTACTGTAAATATTTGTACTGAAAATGCTGTGATTACAGTTCTATAAGCTGTATAGTTTAACATTTCTACTTAATATACTTCATTAGAAAAGCTTGACTTTTGTGTATGACCTGATATAAAACAGTTAGGTTCTGTCTATTTTAATAAGAAATACCTTCAAAAACATACAATATAACGTACCTTTATATTTTCAACTGATTCCTCCTCTTCTATATTCGCTGGGAATATTTCACCCTCTAAGCTTATATCTGGCTCTGGTACCTCCATATTTCCTAATATTGATACAGGGCTCAGAAGTTCTATTACTCCAGCCTCAAAAGCATCTGAGGCTGAAGTTGTTGCTGGCCCTCCTCCTGTACCTCTTTGTTCTTTTTTTACTTTAGCAGCCTTTGCTTTGCAATTTTTTTTTAATATCAATCCAGGTCTACAATGAAAACAAGGAATGTGGAAAATAGTTTTTTCTATGTTTTATAGAAGTAGAAGAGATAATATTTTTATATGATGAAAAGTTTTTTACTTCTGAATTTTAAAAGTTTATTTTTATAGAAGTAGAAGAGATAATATTTTTATATGATGAAAAGTTGTTTAGTTCTGAATTTTAAAATTTTATTAAAAAATAATAAGTGTATTTTTATAACTTACCTTACGCCAAGCACTCCATTCTTTTTTGGCGCCATTACAATGGGAATTTAATATGGTCGCCAATTCCTGCCATAACGCCCTCGAATCTTGCCTAGTAAATTCTGGCGAAAATTTCCCAGCATATAATTTTAGCCTTGTTCTAATGAATTCCAACATAATTTCTTTTTGCTCTGCCGAAATATGTGCCATGCTTCTGTTTACAAAGAATGAGGTTTAATTGGAGATTTTAATTTTGTAAATTTCATGCTATGAAGTGTTAAAACTTAAGGTGTACATATTCAAAAAAGATGGTTGACTTACCTGAAAAATATTTTTAAAAATACAACCTGTACTTAATTTAAAAAACTTTGTGTTAACAAAACCGCCAATACAAAAACAAAAGTAGTGACAGCATAGATTAGGGGAGTGATCAGGTTGACGTTTGACAGTATCTTGTCCTTTGTCAATAATTAAATTTTGTCATTGGTTAAAATTTTCATTCAACACTGTTCATAGTTTCTCTCATTCCTTTCTACTCACTGTATTCAAGAATACAGCTTTTTAAAATCGAGAGAAATTATGATGGAGTAGAAAAGCGAGTTAGCTTAGTGGGGAGTAAAATTTTCTCTCGATTCAAGAATAAGGCCCCTGTAGTTTTGGCGGTTTTCTCAATATTATCATAATTTGTGGTAATATTTAGGTCGTCTTCTGTTTTTTCGGCATGAGGTTGTTGCTCTTCCATGCTTTCAATAAAATCGTCATTCTGAATAAGATTTGACCAAGTACCTATTTCTTTTTCTTCTCCTTCGTCTTCTTCATCTTCAGATGATACAGTATCGTATTTTGGGTCGATTATAGGGGTGGATGAAACCATAACTTGTCCTCAAATTATTTATGATGCCTTGGGCGGTGACTAAAAATCTTCGGTATGCTCTACACTGGAATTTAGGTTAATTCCATTAAATTTTCTCCCATCCACACTGGTTAACTTCACTTTTGCACTTAATTTCAAACATCCAAGTACTGGAAATTTTACTTTCATTTTAGAATAATTGACAGAACTTGTGTGAACTAATTTTGATAAAGCTAATAGCCACACAATTTCTCCATAGGTTTACAAGTTAAACTGGGCGTCAGAATTTGGTTAAATATGCCAATGGTTTTATTAACTCTGTCCAAACTTTTTGTGCCATATCGCGTTTTTTCTCGTAATCAATAATCTGCTTAAGTAGCACAGCACGTTGATTCTAATTTTTCTTCTAAATATTGAGTATTTTCAGTTACAAATGTTTGAACTAGTCTGTCTTATTCATCATCGGTAGTTTTGGTGGTTTTCTCAATATTATCATAATTTGTGGTAATATTTAGGTCGTCTTCTGTTTTTTCGGCATGAGGTTGTTGCTCTTCCATGCTTTCAATAAAATCATCATTCTGGATAAGATTTGACCAAGTACCTATTTCTTTTTCTTCTTTTTCTCTACTTCTTCGGTAAGCTCTACACTGAAATTTTTGTTAATTCCATTAAATTTTCCCCCATCCACACTGGTTAAGTTCACTTTATAGGTTTTGCACTTGATTTCGAACATTCAGCTACTGGAAATCTTACTTTCATTTTGGAATAATTGACAGAACTTGTATGAACTAATTCTAATAAAACTAATAGCCACACTATTTTTCCATAGGTTTACAAGTTAAAATGGACGTCCGAATTTGGTTACATATGCCAATGTTTTTATTACCTCTATCCAAACTTTTTGCGCCATATCGCGTTTTTTGTCGTAATCAATAATCTGCCTAATTAACACAGCACGTTGACTCTGATTTCCTTCTAAATATTGAGTATTTTCAGTTACAGATGTTTGAACTAGTCTGTCTTATTGATCATCTGTAGTTTTGGCGGTTTTTTCAATATTATCATAATTTGTGGTAATATTTAGGTCGGCTTCTGTTTTTTCGGCATGAGGTTGTTGCTCTTCCATGCTTTCCATAAAATTGTCATTCTGAATAAGATTTGACCAATTACCTATTTCTTTTTCTTCTCCTTCGTCTTCTTCAGATGATACAGTATCGTATTTTGGGTCGATTATAGGGGTGGATGAAACCATAACTTGCTCCTCAAATTATTTATGATGCATTGGGCGGTGACTAAAAATCTTCGGTATGCTCTACACTGGAATTTAGGTTAACTTAGTTTAATTTTCCCCCATCCACACTGGATAACTTTACTTTCGCACTTGATTTCAAACATAGAAGTACTGGAAATTTTACTTTCATTTTTGAATAATTGTGACAGAACTTGTATGAACTAATTTTAATAAAGCTAATAGCCACACTATTTCTCCCTAGGGTTATAAGTTAAAATGGACGTCAGAATTTGGTTACATATGCCAATGGTTTTATTAACTCTGTCCAAACTTTTTGTGCCATATCGCGTTTTTTCTCGTAATCAATAATCTGCTTAAGTAGCACAGCACGTTGACTCTGATTTGCTTCTAAATATAGAGTATTTTCAGTTACAAATGTTTGAACTAGTCTGTCTTATTCATCATCTGTAGTTTTGGCGGTTTTCTCAATATTATCATAATTTGTGTTAATAATTAGGTCGTCTTCTATTTTTTCGGCATGAGGTTGTTGCTCTTCCATGGTTTCAATAAAATCGTCGTTCTGAATAAGATTTGACCAATTACCTATTTCTTTTTCTTCTCCTTCGTCTTCTTCATCTTCAGATGATACAGTATCGTATTTTGGGTCGATTATAGGGGTGGATGAAACCATAACTTGCTTCTCAAATTATTTATGGTGCATTGGGCGGTGATTAAAAATCTCCTTCGGTAAGCTCTACACTGGAATTTAGGTTAATTCCATTAAATTTTCCCCCATCCACACTGGTTAACTTCAGTTTTGCACTTGATTTCGACCATTCAGCTACTGGAAATCTTACTTTCATTTTGGAATAATTGACAGAACTTGTATGAACTAATTTTAATAAATCTAATAGCCACACCATTTCTCCATAGGTTTACAAGTTAAAATGGACGAGGTATTGAGGTGGATGAAACCATAACTTGCTGCTCAAATTATTTATAGTCCAAGGGGCGGTGATTAAGAATCTCCTTCGGTAAGCTCTACACTGGAATTTAGGTTAATTCCATTAAATTTTCCCCCATCTACACTGGTTATGTTCACTTTTGCACTTGATTTCGAACATTCAGCTACTGGAAATCTTACTTTAATTTTGGAATAATTGACAGAACTTGTATGAACTAATTTTAATAAATCTAATAGCCACACTATTTCTCCATAGATTTACAAGTTAATATGCCAATTCCATATGCCAATGTTTTTATTAACTCTGTCCAAACTTTTTGTGCCATATCGCGTTTTTTCTCGCAATCAATAATCTGCTTAAGTAGCACAGCACATTGACTCTGATCACTTCTAAATATTGAGTATTTTCTGTTACAAATGTTTGAACTAGTCTGTCTTATTCATCATCTGTGCCCTTATTCTTAAATTGCAGGGAGTAGAAATTGCAAGAGAAAGTGACGTAAAAGTAGGCGTGGCTCCCTAAAACCGAAAATGCAGTATTCTTGAAAAAAACTCTCCTAATGTGTGAGAGAAATGTCACTCCCTAAGGGAATAATAATTTCTACTGATAGTATGTAAGAGAAATTGTAAATGGGAGCGAAAATAACAATACATAACCTTTCAAAAACCGAGGAAAGTATTTTGTTTTTTAAAAAGCGGAAGTTAATAAAAGATGGATATCAATCATATGCTCTACTGGACTAATATTATGTTTAATGATGTTTTGGAGGCAGTTGAAGATCTTTAAATTGGCC